GAAAAAGCATTTGAGCTCCATACTGTTTCAGAAATAATCCTTGACGTGGTTTAAACAGGATGGCGTTTTATCACAGCAGAATTTAACTTTACCTCCGGTAGAATTCTGATCAGGCATTAGCTCCGCCTCCTCTTATTTATTTTTTTCAAGCTAAGGACCCAAAATCTGCGTTTCTCTAACAGGGCTGCAAAAGAGGGGTTTGAGCAGTATGAGGCATGGCTACAATGGGTGATCTGTTTGGTATTTTGAAAAAAAAACTTCACAGACATGTTTTATATAGGTATGGCCCTACAATATATCTTTCAAATATAGCATGATAGGTCCACTTTAATGTATTGAAGGCAAAGATATTTGACACATATTGAGAACTGCTACTATTTATCTCTCAATATTGTCTGTACACAAACGTGGTAAAAGTTATTATTTCAGTGAGACAACAGAGCAAGCTTCTACAGTTGCACTACGTTTTGATAACAGTTAAATATTATTTTGATAATCAAATATATTTCAATGTTGATGAATTTCATACTGTTCATTCATAATCTGATTGTCTTTGTAGCTGACTGTTGAAATTTAAAAAAACATTACAATTACAAAATAATTATATCTACAGGCCCTAAACACATAAACACACCTCTTTCATAAATAACACACTTGTTCTGCAATAATATGTTTTATGTTTCCTGTAATTTTTGTTAGGAAAGGACATGCCTGAAAGACACAACTCAACATTTTCTCCTTCTCTGAGGGTCAAGAAGAACATCCAAGAGGAAAATTAAAAGCTGATGTTATGAGATTTTAAGACCTGAGGCCTGTACTACGAAGCCAGATTTTCGCTTAGCGAGCTAACTTCAGGGAAAACTCTGGGTTTCCGGTCCTACGACGCTGGTTCACTTCTTACCGGGCTAGATCTCCATGGTAACTTACGCTGAACGGCAAACCTGCTCCGGAGCAGCGGTTTGGTTCCAGGATAAGAGATCAACTCAGTGAAAGCACCACCTGCTGACCAATCAGAGCTCAGTGTGCGGAGTTTAAAGCTATCAAGTCATATTACAGGATAGAGGAAATACAGTTTAAACTGCCGTTGCAGGAAAGACGACTGGCAAAAATGAACTGACTGTGTGAACGTGAAAATGAATAGAATATCACCTCCCATCTTCAGAGCAATCTGACTAATATAACATTAGCGTTAAGAAAGCTTACTTAAATATCTGCCACAACATAAGTAACTGGATCAGAGTAACATTAAGTACAGTCCGCGGCACTGTGAGTGCAGACGTCGATGTGTCCCATTATCATTCATATCATATCACATCATAAATAATGTATCATATATGTCCTTATCTGAGTCAGCTGAGCCGTATTTGGCCGTGCAACACTCACAGTGTCACATACTGTATGCAGAAGTATTATTTTAACAACACATTAAGTTGACGAAACACTCAAGTCAAATGTAATTAAAGTCAGATCCACTCGTGTCTTAGACGGGGCAGTGATATCATAAACGAGAGCGAGTTTGTTTTGGATTAGGTAAGCCGGGTAACTCAAACATATCCAGGATATGTTGAACTGGATTCGTAGTACAGGCCTCTGTACAGGACATTCACTAATAAACGACACTTTATAAATACAGTCTATGATTGATACCCCTCATCTCGACTCCCAGTGTTTATTTTACAACCCAGCTCTTGGGCTGCAACAAAAACATGGGAGTTGTTTTATATAAATATTTATAGAAAAGAATTTGTGTCATACTCACAATCATCATTATTAAAGCTTCAACAGCTAAATATATGTTAAAGTCTGACTGCACAGCAGGTGTCAAATACTGCACAAGCATGCAGCTCCTTCCAGAAATGTCCTGTCGTGTCTGAATAAAGCTGATTTACAGTCTTTGTTGTTACGATTAAACATTTTAAAAAACTTCCAACAGATTGATCCAGCAATATTCCAGCATATTGTGTCTGAAAGTCAAATCCCACCTTGATGCCCACTGCAGTCGGCATGTTGTTGTGTCCATGGGCAAGACACTTGTCTTAATGTCCACAGTATTGACTGTATTTAAGATGCTTATAGTAAAAGCGTCTAACAAGTGACACGTAATCTAATGTAAGGAAAAGGGCTTAGCATTCCAAGTATATCATTTCAAGAAACTAAAGAAAAATGATGTACTTTTGTCTGAATAACTTTTGTAAAGCACCATAAGTGAAGCCTTCAATATTTTCACTAATGTTGATATTGAGGGTTTTCCCAGCTCATTTTGTCCAAACAACATTTGTGTATTTCACTTTAATGTGTATCACTCTATTTAATGGCTGTATGCTTTTTTAATGTGAAGGGTATTTGAACTTTAATTCTGCACTTTAAATGAAATGGTTTGAGTGAGACAGCAGTTCAAACGCACACACAAGGAAACACACCTAGTACAAGAACCTTTGTCCCACCAACTACACACCATCGTGCTCAATCTAAAGCACACTCATCTTTTATGGTGATCTGT